ATAATAACAACTTGATCATCTGGAGACAACTTTTGCAGTTAAACACCACAAAGTTTGGTTGAAAATCAGGGCAAAATGGAGCACGATGCAGGGAAGAGACAACGTGGGAATAGCATCACCACTACCCCCGAGAGACCGGCGAATAATGATGGAAGAGCGGTACCCGAGGCTCAGGTAACAGAGAGACCGCAAGAATCCAGGGAGATTAACAGCCACAACCCTCAGGGATATGGTCTACAATCGACCAATACATTCACAGCTAGTAGTAGCTCACCACCCACAAATCCGGCCCCCAGATATCCTTTTGAACGATCGACAACCTCATCTAGCCAAGAAGTTTCCGATGCGTCAAAGAAAAGTACACAGACCGTGGTCAAGCCAGCATTAGAACCTCCCGTCACCAAATCAACATTAAGTGAACTCGATGTGAATAAGATAGTGCACAACCCCAAACTCCGACACGACATTAACTTCGATCCGGATTTACACTTTAGGCCCAATCTCGATGGAGAAAAGGGACGCAAGAAGAGCCAGAAGGCCAACGATTTCTGGGAGACGATGCGATCGCAACTTGAAGGCTTTTTGATGAGTAAAGATCGTGAGCAATTCGAGAAAGATTTAGGTGATGCGGAGTGGTGCTTGCCAGCCACGCTGAAAGCCATCAAAGGCATTCTCGAAACATTAGTCCCACAGCGGGATCGGTCATCGGTCGAGGAGACCTTTAACGTTGATCTATTAATGCAGCAATTTCGAAAAGGCGTTGCTGATCTGAATAAACTTGCGTTGTGGCTATCACAACTTTTGAAGTGCCATTGTGCGCCAATGAGAGATAGTTGGGTTGATGAGATGGTCGTTCACTTGAGTGAGGGTAACCAAAACGGAGATGTGGCAATGTTGGTCTCCGGAATGCGAAACCTGCTGGGTGTCTTGGAAGCTATGAAGCTCGTAAGTTCTATGTGATATGTACCTGGTAGACATTTACTGATAAGTGATTTAGGATGTTGCAAATCATCAGATCAGGTGTTTGCGCCCGCTGCTCATCGAAGACACTGTCCAATTTGAGCAAAAATTCTTTGTAAGAAAGATTGCAATGGGTAGAGTAGACATTGCTTCAGCCCATGATTGGTTCAGAAAGGCATCAAATTTGCCAGATAGTCTTCCCTCGGATGCATCAACACGAACTCAAGGAAACACGTGGGACTTCATGAAAGCACTTGTAAATCTAACCCTACCATCGAAAGCCTTGGAACCTGTTCCTCACACCTTCCTATTCGATGAGGAGCGCCTTGTTAAACTTCGTGCGGATATGCTGGATCTAATTAACCTTGAGATTTGTATGTTCCTCTATCACAAACTTGATGCAACATCCAAATCGAACGAGGTCCGATCTGTTCCACAGGATGATACACCTGCTGCTTCGTCTTATATCTCTTCTCCTGCAGATGAAGGTGTACTCTCGGCGCCGACTGTACCCTCAGAGAATGACTTTACAGCCAAACGGAAGTATAATCACATGGTACAGGAAAGAGGTCATTTCTCGAGAGAACTTTCGGGTCGACAAGTATGGGTACCAAATCTAGAAGACGAAGCTATGGACTCCTTATCGTCTAGCCCAAGATCGTCTCCATCAACGACTGCATCCACGCCCGAGACGTATCCTGTAACACCACTTTACCTGTCTATTCAGAATTCCGACTCTACGTCGCAAGTGCGCACCTCTCTACAAGCTCTCCTGGCTTCTTCTTCGTCACAAGATAGGTGGGCCGTGTTATCCTCAAACATTGCTTTGCAAATTCTTCGCTCAACACCAACACCTATGGCACGCCTTCCAGTATTCGAATCACATCTTCAATTTCATCTCTCAAATTCGCAATCCAGGATCTATCAAGAAGCAGAAACGTACATAATTTCGAAACTTTTCCCCGAGTTACAAAAGCTTGTCGAGTCATATACTCCTTTGACGAGTCTCCAGATATTTGATGCGGCCACGTCGCCAAAACCTACGAATGGACTTATGAACCTCAATGCCCAAGCAAACGGACAAAAGGAGGAAATTTCAGATATTGCAACCAGAATTGCCCATATCGGTATTTTACACTGGCGGGTTTGGGCACCATTAGCATATCTTGTCAATCCTGATGCTGAGGATGAAGTCGACGTCAACATGATTCAGGATACCGATCTGCCAGTTGACGAGTCTTGAAGGATTGGCAAACTGCATATCTGCAAACATTAATCTTTCGAGGGTGCATTTTAACAGCAGAGCCGAGCCACAAAAATAGCATTCCAAAAGGTCCACTCACCCGGAGTCATATTCAAGCCAAACTCCGGATACATTATTGCGGCAAACGTTATATGAATATGAAAGAAACAATATCTCCAAGAACTGCTGGAGACGAACTACTACTATTACATATACTAAAAAGTTTGGAAATCGCCTCGTAATATTTTTTTGACTTTACTTACCACATCTATTATAAATTCGCATTGTTCTTGGAGTCATTTGGGGCTGGGCAAGTCGGTTCGGATTCTGGTCTTGCATACCTGCATTTTTCTTCAATTTTTTGAAATTCTGATACCCAACTTCTGTCGTTTCCTTCGCATCAATCGACTACAAACATCTGTACAATAGTTGTCGAACCATGATTCATGGTTGGTGTGTTTATTATCTGGGAAGCAACTAAAACCCACGCATCACTTAAGGGGTTCGGTTGGGGCCAAAGCTTGTTTTCTGATCATTTCAAATGATTGATTTATCGATTAGAAACACGTTTGGAGTATGCGTATGTGCGTCTTTTTTTGCTTTATTTTGCAACCAACCAATTTGGCAAGGTGCATGTTAGTATGTTTGGGTATGCGAAGTTTGGGATTTCAATTGGTGTTTTTTGTTTTTTGGGATATGCCGGAATGGGACGGGATAGGTTGGGATGACAGGTGCATAATGTTAGATCTCGTCTAGACTTTCAGTGGGGGAAACAAAGGTTAAGGGATGAATTTGATTGCGATGAGAGGAAATGGCCTGTTTGAATTGCGAGGATTGGATTGGATGTTTTGGATTGCGTGGTTGGTTGTATATTTTGATAACTTGACAACTGTGTGCCAGTAAATGAATAAAATGGAAACTATTAAGAATTTAAAATGTCAAGTTGCACTGATTGATGCTGTGAATTTGTGAAGTGTTGAAGTTTTTGTCTAATGGTGGCAAGTGCCATGGTTTCATTTCCATCGGTGCATTAGATTTGTAGCCGATGCACACCCTGTTGATGAAGTCAGTCACTCATGGTGAAATTTTGCAGAACATATTGAAGTAGTCGTGGAGTGGTATAGAATGAATGCAGAAAGAGGATTTTCATGCAATGTCCCTTGTATATCATCATCGACTTTGACTTTATATTGGCATATTTGTGAATGATAACTTTTTTATATATGTATCTATGTATCTATGTAAGATAGAAACAAGAAATGATGTCCATTCGTGAGAATGTAGATGGGGATGTAGATGGGGATGGGGAGTCAGTTGATGTCCGAGAGGAAGAGAAGATGGAGAGGATTTTTTGGGAGAAAGGAAGGGAGAAAGTTTCCGGAGAAAGGAAGGGGACACTAATTGGGAATTTTGGCTGAAAGGACTGGGAGAGGTTGAATGGGTTGGTTTATGATGAGGTTTGAGAGTGTAATAAGTTTAGATGCAAGTGCAGGTCAGTTGGACAGAGAAGTAGGTTTGTGGATTTAATATAATGGACACAAGAATCACAATGGAGAGGAGCAATTCGTGGAGAGACTTGTTGGGAATTGGGTATTGGGTATTGGATATTGGGTAAAGATCCCTATGTTCACGATAGAATAGAGTGAGAGGAGCTGGTTTGAACTCACACATGCCTACCTAGTAGCCATTATATTGGACTCACAATCTCTCTCTAGAAACAAGAGATCCATATCTCAGACTGAGATATGGATCTTTCTAACCCTCTCACCATTTGTCATTCATTTACTCTTCATCTCGCTTTTCTCACGTTCATCTCTTTTCTCGAATTCACCCTTTTCGATTCTGTTGATCTTGTTACCTAATATCATATCATATCATCTCATCTCATTCACTACCATCATCCACTAGGTACTTTCTTTGCAAGTCTTTATCCTTCCATTCATTCACATTACCTAGGTACCTAGGTAGGTGGGTAGATAATTAAATTTACTCTCAAATTTTCACACACATGGTCTCTGTTTACATTTGTAATATTGCTTTTATGCTTCACTTTGATCTTGATTGTTTGTGTTTTGCTACAAATTATCTGTGTTGGCTGGAGTTTAGGTTCTGTTTCTTTATTGATGGATGGATTAGGTAGGTAGGTAGGTATCTCGGCTGGCTTTTCGACACGTCGCGTATATAGCATTGGATTTGAATTTGGATTTGGATTGGATTTGGATTGGATAATTGGCTTTGAGAAACGAGACAGCATTGTTTATTAGTTAGTTACCCATCCCATCTACTCTTCCCGAGTCACTTTTAATAATTCTTGATCTTGATCTTGTTTTCTAAAATAAAATAAATATAAAAAACAAAAAAAAAACATCGTCTCTTTTTGATTGATAAAGAGAAAGTGTATATAGTAACAATCAAAGTGCTGATAATTGCTAGAGAGTGAATACTATAAAGGTATGTGTCTGTGTGGATTTCTGTCACGAGAGAGGGATTCACTGATTTATTAATGAATAAGTAGGAAGATTGTGCTTCTTGAGCTAGCTAGCTTTGTTCAGTTTTCGAATTGAAAATTATAGTTCAGGTCCATGGGTATTCATTGATAGGTTGAAGTTGAAGTTGATTCGAGAAGTATCTAGGAAAATATTGGACTTTACTTTTACTTTTCCTTTTAGTTTTAGTTTTACTTTTACTTTCCAATCAGAAAACCACCCGGGACAAAATATCACGACAGCCATCCGACCCATCCTCGACTATTCTCGAACTCAACTCAACTCAATCCTCAAAATTCAACCAACAACAAATGCTTCCTCGAGGAGTACCCCCTTATCCGGGCCCCCTCTCGATGACGCCCGAACAACATTATCAGTTGGTGGAGGCGCGCGCGTTGATTACGGAGGGGGGCGATCGCATTCTGTTCGAAGAGGATATTACGCTGAATGTGGATTTTGGGACGGGCGTGGAGGAGAGACATGTGGAGGGATGTGTGTGTGTGGTTTGTGGGAGGTGGAGAGGGGGGTTAGGGGGAGGACGGTAATTACTGCGGGTGTAGAGGTGGTGGAGAGGGGTGAGAAGGAGGAGGGTGGTGAAACTGTTTGTGCGGATGAGAAGAGAGATGATGATCATGATGGAGAATCTTTGTTTGTCGGCACGGGAAAAATGTCACAGGTAAAGATATTCAAGCCTCTGAGTCCAGAATTGCACAGAATGAGAAGAAAAAGACAAGCGGGTTCTAGCACAGCCAGTACCCTCGACCGTCTCGAGCATGTCGACCGTTCAGGCGGATGACTTGGAAAAGCGCAATGCTTCTCTGGGGCTGGATGATGAGTACCAAGTAAGTGAAACGGATGGTTCGGAAGAAATTGAACTTGATTCGTCGGGAGTTGTAATTGCTTACGAGCATGCGCCTTCTCTATTATTTCGTTCTGTGGAAAATGTTTCGCGTGAGAGAGGAAGGAGTGTTGGTCAAGATTTACACGCAACTTGGAATTCGCAGGTCGAGAATAAGGATTGCAGGTCTGATAAGGCTAAAGGCGAAGTAGCAAGAAGTCTTTCCAAGGGAAGTCTATCAATCGATAGAAGCAGAGATAAAGAAAGAGGAAGCGACGACAGTGTAGGGTCTGGAACAAGCAAGGCATGGAACTTTACTCGGAGTCTCAGCAGACGGAGTAATAACTCGGGACATTCATCACAGACAATCCGACCTACAAAAGATGACCACGTCATGCTTGGAGCGCAAATGGACGGGAGTGAATCTCCAGACCAACATTCTTCTTTCGAGGAAGGCGAAAGTCTCAACATGAGTTTTCAAGGCGATGAGGATATCATGGAACCGAGAGATGGCGCACGACCATTCATTGGCCCGCGCCGCAATCCCGAGATCCACGATTTCCCCAGATTCGACCCCAAACAATTTACTCCGAGTAAGAATACGCACGCGCCTTTCGATAAATCAAAGTCAAGGAGAAGATCAGGCTCGGAATCCGACGTTTCGACTCTGGGGCCGCAGGAAGCGCGCTCTCGCTCTCGCTCTCCTTCTCTACGATCCCGGCACTACAGTTCCCGCGGCTCGTTCTCGCTCAATTGGGATAATATTTCTTCGGATACCGTGTACCATAAGCATGCGCGACGCTTCTATCAGAATCCGGCGGCATACGGTGCGGAGATCCCGGGGTATAATCCCGAGACGGATAATCCGTATTTGGCGTATGATCGGTATCAGGAAGTGAGTGAGTGGGCGGATAGTACCGAGGAAGCGGATCCTGATCATGTTGTTGCGTTGACGACGAGGGAATTGAAGAGATTGTGTGGGGCGGAGATTCGGGTTCCTTTTGATTTTATTCCCGAGGGGTATGTTAATCCTCCTACTTCGAAGGCGGGAAGTGTGGTGGGTGATGATGGGGATGTTGTTTCGATTGTGGAGATGGAAGAAGAAGAAGAAGAAGAAGATGATGATGATGATGACGAACTGGGATCGGAACCGAGACATAAAAATTTGGTTGATCTGGGAATGCCGGGATGGGCTCATGAATGGGAAGATATGACGAAGATGCAGAGACATTTTCATATTGTTGCAGCGGGAGATTGGAGAATGGGCCCGGCGTTTGATGTTAAGAGTAATTATTCGGATTATTTTGGGGTGCCGTTGTTTGAACCGAATGATGTTGGTCTGAATGGGGTTAATATGAGAGAGGTGCGTGGATTGGAGATTCCGGGCTTGAAGGAATTGGAGTTGAGGTTTCGATTGGAGGGTTGTGAGGGAGAGGATGATGGGTGTGTGGAGAGAGGTCAGCGGAGATGTTCTGATGAGGATGTCACGACTGGAAGTCCGACGGAATATGATAGTGATGGCTTTCTATACGATGATTACAACGGTGGAGAGGGTACGGGAAATTCTGATCCGACAGAATCCACAGGTTCCGAGGCGGATCGATTCTCTCGCCGTCCTTCTGAGGTTTCTCTGAGCAATAGATCTGGCGATGGATCTGAAGAAGGAGATTATGCGGGTTCGATTGTTGAAGGATATGACATCACTGATGATCATCGCACTGGCGCCAACACCAACATACGCACCAGTGATAGTTTCCGAGGACGCATGGCACGTAGCTATACCTTCAACAGCAGATTCAGTCAAGACATTTTAGCGCCACCAAATGCAGAGAGTCTCGTCAGCGAAGAACCATACGATACCGACGATGACGAAGACTACGAAAGCGATGATGGAGTATCTGTCAATTACTCTTTTGGTAATTCCTCATACCATGGTACGGAGTGTCAAGAAGATTACGCAATCGGTACATCGAAATTCGCACCCCACGCATTCCAACTCTACCCTCCGTACGAAGTAGCTAATGATTGTACGACCATTGGTATTGCGCCTTCGGAAAGAAAAAATGCGCGTCCTGCGTCCTGGGATGCGGATTTTATGGAAGATATACTCGGCTATTCCGCCCACGAAGAAACCCATAAACCTCACGATCCGACTGCGGAAATGGTGATAATGAGTTATTTGGATCCCGTTCCCACATCCAGAAGATCGTCATCGAGATCGAGATCTTCGACAGGTTCATTGACACCGGTGCCGTCGTCGACAAAGTCTGCGAAAGCCACGAAATCTTTCGTTCCTACCGTAAAATCACTTTCCCGAGCTTTCGGGAAGAATCGATCGCTCCCCCCAACCCCAGAAGACGCACCATGCGAAACCTTCTCGAAATCCGCATCCAAAAGCGCCAGCTCCCTCCGCAAATCCTCCCTCTCCACCGCCAACATCGCCAAACTCAACAGCCACAAGCCCAAAGAAAAATCCTCGCTCCCCAACCCCCCAGCCACAAAACCAAAAGCACACACTCCAAAACCCCCCTCTCCAAACCCCCCCTCAAACCCAAATCCAAACCCCACCCCCTCCTCCGTCTCAAACCCCGCAAATCCAAGATCCCCGCCCCACCCAGCTCCACCTCCTCCAGCAACTCCAACACCTCCTACGTCGACCTCACGCGTTCCGGTTCCGCATATGCGGTGCCCCCCGCCCAATCCCTCATTCTCTATCTGCACGGCCGCGGATTAGACGCTGATCACATCGCGCATGTCATGCAGACGCTCGATGAGAAATTTCTGTACGACTCGAATTCGAATTGGTGGCCGCTGGACTACGCATCTTCTATTTCGGCGGCGATACCTATGAGTTATCTACATCCGGTGGGAAATACTACGACGCTCCCTGATATTACTCTCTGCGCCAATCCCCCTCCGTCTTTCCAATCTCTCCACCCCCCAAAACCAACCCCGAATACAAACACAAATACATCACCAATCCGTTTCCCACCCCACACCCTCTTCACCCCATGCACCGTCTCCCAAATCCTGCAAAGATGCAAGAGAGAAGAAGAGTGGTGGGAGTCCGCCACCGCGCGCGATCCAGATGGGAAAAGACTACCCGAGAGTTTTCGACGGTTGAAAAAGGGGATGAGGGTGCGGAAGGCGAGGGGGTTAGTGCGGAAGACGGTGGAGAATTTTTTGTGGTGGAGGATTGGCGGGGGAGTGGGGGTGCCGCATGGGAATTTGATGAGGGGTTAGCTGTGGAGATGGTTGGGGAGGGAGGATTGGTGTGCTGTGGTGTGGTGTGGTGTGAGATGCCGTGGTATATGTGGAGATGAGATGAAACCAATCCGAGATATCATATCGATGCTGGAGAAAATCGATCGATGCTATTGCTGTTTATATTATTTGGATCCGATATCGCGACTTGTATTGGAAGACGACGATGACCACGACGTTGATTGCGGCGATGATATCGTCACGAGTTCACATTTCTCCTCTCTTCTCTTCTCTCTCATTTTCCTTTCTCTTCTTTCCCCTTTCAATTCCGCGCCGAACATCTGTTTGAATATCCCCCTTTCCCATTTCCCATTTCCATTTCCATTTCCATTTCCATTTCCATTTCCATTTCCCTCTTCTTTTCAAAAATGCGCGTCAACTATTCTGTTTGTTATTTGGGATAGCTGTAGTACGTCTAGGAGGATTTTAGTTACTCAACTTTGATTATTTTCTTGATTCTTCTTGGTTCTTCTTGATGATTTCAATGATTTCAATGATTTCAATGATTTCAATGATTTCAATGATTTCAATGATTTCAATGATTTCAATGATTTCAATGATTTCAATGATTTCAATGATTTCAATGATTTCAATCATGTACTTTACTTACTCACCTCACCTACTTACATGTTCTTCGAAAAGAATTTAATTTGTAATACCTACTTATGAGTAGATAGATAGGAATAACATTCTAGTAAAACGATATAAAAAGATTGAAGAAAATGAAATTTTGTGTTTATTCTGTTGAGTTTGTTGATCTTGTATATCTACATACATACATACATAACAAGCTATGCGAACCATTTCATGGTATCTAAGGGAGGTATAAAAGCTATTTACATGTTGTGTATATGCATTCACCTGTTCATTCCCAGCAAATCTAACCCGACCTATACAACGCCGAACGCTATGCTTATAACTAACTAGTAGTGCGTATTTTTATAACTGACCCGACGATATTATACCAACCCATGAGTTCTTTATGAAAATGACCTTCCCATTATCCATACATACCATTATGTTTCTACTTGGCTTTCTTCCGCATTTTCTTCAATACTCCATGCTTTCGTAATTCCATCGTCACCCGTCGTAATAACCATTTCTTCATCTGGGGTTTTCTTGCCGTTGTCGAATCGTTGACACCACGTCACATGGTTAATTTCATACGGACCATGAGCACCTTCTAGAACAGTGAGAACCGTCCATTCTTTCTCAATAGTACCACCCACACTATTTCGTCCCTTGGTTTGTTCCTCGTAGATGGCGATTTTGCCGTCTCCGCCGGTGGATACTATACGACCGGTTTGTTTGCTCCAGCTAATGCTGTAGATGGGTAGATCGTGGACTTTGGGAAGCGTGGCCGTGCATTCCCAGGTCTCGTTTTCGGGGCCGGGGCGCATGGTGCTGGGGATGCCGGGGTTGAAATAGGAGGGTTTGTTTTGGGGTGGTGGCGTGGGTACTTTGGACCAGATGCGAATGCTCATGTCTGCGGATGAGGAGAGGAGTCGTGGGGTTGCTGGCGCCGAGGATTCATCGCTAGACGCTGTCTTCATGAGAACTTCGGGCTCCCAATCAAGATTCCATACAGTGCCTTCGTGACCCTCTAGTGTAGCCACGGTCTCCCAGTCTCCCTCGCCATCTTCGCGGGATAGTAAAATCGTATCGTCATAACTACCACTCGCAAGAACTTCTCCATTGCCATCGTCTTTTCTCCAACAAACACATTTAACATCTGCTTTATGATCTTGCAAAACTGCAACTGTTTCGAATTCATCTTCACCCTCCTCTCCTATTTCTTCCCATATCCAAACCGTCTTATCTCTCGAACAAGAAGCCAGCCATTGTCCACTGGGCGAATAAGCCACATTTTTAATCTCCGAATCATGACCCTCCAACACAATCGAAAATTCCCAATCATCCCCTTCATCCTCCTCATCTTCCCCTCCTCTTCTCAACTGCGCTCCTTTATTCACCTCTCCATCCGCTCCAATCTCCATCTCCAATGGTCCATCCCCGCCATCATTTCCATTACCATTCCCCGCATCCTCCTTCCGTCTCCAAATCCCCATGGTCGCATCAAAACTCCCCGTCGCAATCGTCAAAGCACCATCTCTCCTAACCCCCGGTTTCCACGCCGCAGATCTCACACTTCTCTCATGGCCCCCTTCCAAAGTCGAATGCAACGTGAAGTTATTGAGCGAATAGACTCGGACCGATTTATCAGAAGTGGCTGTTGCGATGAGCGGCAGTCCGTTGGGATTGGGAATAGATGCCCATGCGCGAGTCGCAGCTTGGGGCTTGAAATCGGAGAGGTGTTGGAGTCGCATTGTTGTGGGTTGGGAGGAGGGTTTCTTGGGGTGGGAGGGGAAAATTTTATGGGAGGCTTTGGAGGGGTAATGTTGGGGTGCTTGTTGCGATAAGATGTCATTGGGGATTTATTGATGACAAATACAGTTGATTTCGCTCGCGATTGACCGAAGAGCTAGCTCGTAAAAATGGAAGAAAGTTTTAAAATGACTCTCCCTCGAAATTGAATATAAAAATATTCACATATTCTGACTCTCTTCAGGTTAGTGAATGAAGACATTTTCTTGATGAAATCTTGTTATCAGAGATTTCACAGGCAAAATATTGCTTTGTTGTTTTGATATTGAATTTTGATTGAGGTATAGTATTTTGGTGCGTATGGTTACCGATAAGGGCATAGAATGAATTTATACTTGAGGATAGAATCTCGAGACTCATTCTCACCAATACACTCCTTTGGGTCAAGTGGCTAATACATACTCATCAAGTATGCTCACTCCTCTCCAATTGAAGGACTCAGAAATACCCCAAGGTCAATATCGATACAAGAAAAGTATGGCTCTTGTTTCTACATATAAAAAGTGGGCATCTCATCTAGAGCGTGCGATCTTACGCATTTGCAATGATATTGGAGCAGGACGAAGTAAAAAGTACTGATATTGAGTATTATTGGCTGTATGCAAACAAATTTTGCTGCCAGTGCACACAGTATTTCTTCAATGATGTCGTAACGCTACAGGAATTCCATCAATATCGAAATGGATTGCTAGTGCAGACGATATTCCCACGCTGGTTTCCTAATACTAAGGAGACTTTTGTCCAATTTCCAAATGTGATCCTGAAATCTTTGACCTCTAATATTCCTGTCTGCTTGTATCACTTCTGTCAGTATTGATTATCAAATTGGACAAGATGTTCAAAAAGCCATCCAGTCAAAGTCGAGGCTTTTCACGTACTTCTTCGAATATGTAATCCTCTTGTCTGTTGGACCGTCGCCGATCGTACTCTAATAGTCCACCGCCCGCCCCAGAACACCTATGAAGTATCAACATTTGGAGGTCCAGAATAAGTAATAGTGGCGTTGTTGCCTGGAGATATTGGACTCCTCCCAAATTGAATGGCATTTCTTCGTCCACGATTGCTCATCTCTCTGCGGCGTTCATCATCAGAAGACGCATCATCCATCCCTAAGATTTGAGTATACGTTTCTTCGCTTGTAAAACTACGTAGATATGGGTTGTCAGGAAACAAAATTGCAGCGTCAGAGTCTTGATCTTCGTCCCATAATCGTTCAACGGCCACAGGTCCCTCCCGATTGTGGCGCAGGTTGGAATCATTCGACTGCTCTTGCTGAGGACAATGATATTGACTGTCGCTCTAGTTGGATCCTACGCTGGAACTCATTTTCTATAGCTTCCGTTGCTCGATATCCCAACGTCGGTTGTGCGGCGATTTCTGCCCCATTTGGATTCTGAACTGATGCAACCGCAAATCTTGGAACTTCTATATTTACGGGTAAACGGGCATTGCCTGATTGAATCCAACGTCTCACCGTTTCACGTCGAATTCCACCTACATGAAACATTCGAGAGTAGAGCATCACGAAAAAACCTGCGGTTACTTGATTGGGAGTACCGGTAAGAGGATGAATGGCAGCTAACTCTGTGATAACTCGATTGACGAGAGCTTGATCGGCGAAAGCTTGATCGGTCAAACGAGTAGCAGTTTGATTAGCGGCTATTGGTTGATTATCTGAGTCATCTCCCAGTGTGAAAGAGATCTCATTTATCCTAATATGAGCATAATCCGAAGGTTCCCACCGCCTTAATAATTCACGCTCCCGACCCATTGTCATTATCTGAAGAAAGAGAGTCCCAGGGGAGGGTGCCATTGACTGATTGACTGTGAATCTGACAGGCCTCTGAATGGCGGCAGCTTGATGGCGGGGAATTTGACTGGCTATAGCTAGCACAGTGGCAAATTCATTGACGAGGGCTTTATCAGTGTCAGCTTGACTGATTTGATCAACAGTCATAGCTTGACGAGAGTTGGAGATAGGTTGTTCTAAGGTAGTCTGGCTAGAGGCATCAGAGGCAATTGGGCTAGCGACATTTTCATCGGAAACAATTGGTATTGGAACAAATGTATAGATGCGACTTCGGTTTGAGACAACTTGATTAGCAGCATCTTGACGGGCAGATTCTGGAATAGGGACAAATGTATAGTTGATGAAATTTTGGTATGTTGCAACATCTCGATTGGGAGCACTTTGAACAGGGAAATATCCATCACTGGGAGATGGGTTTGAGGCAGCTTCAACGAGGGTATATTGTCTGAGAACAGTTGAACTAATAGACCCGCCCACAGGTGGTCCTTGATTTTTATTGCTCAAACGAACACGCTTTCGATCATGTTGAGAACTTGAGCAGTCTGGCTTATTGTCGATGCATCGCTTGGTTCTAACGCAGATCGACGAATCGTGAATAAGTTGACCCATGATCACCGCAGTAAACCAGGCGGACAGGAAAGAGCGTCTTTGAGAAGTGCGAATCGGATGTTTTGGAATAGGATGGCAGTGGTATTATTCTTGTCAACGCGGTAGGACGTCCTAGAAACAATAGCTAGAATAGTCTTCCTGGTTAATAATTGGATATCAGATAAGATGAATGATTATTGTATACGGCAAAGGTATGAATGCTATCGTATACGGCAAAAGCTACGCTACGCTATGCTGAGACGAGACGAGACGAGAAATAATTTGCTGAATGGTGATATAATTGATATGCTCAAAATGCGACTGCCTCCTCGAAGTTTGTTGTAGACAGCTAGCTGCTACCACGAAGATATAAAATATCCAAAGGCAAAAAAGACCTATGCACTCTTGATGGAAACTGGCAAGAGCGAGCCATTTTCCCAATACCAGATAGCATCACCACGACTTTTACCTTAATTCTCTTGCAGGTATAGACATATGAGATATGTTCAGCAGGGTGTGAATATGTATTTGGATTCTTCGAGTTGTCTGACATTGGAATGTCCAAATAATATACCAAAGGTTGAACTTCATACACTCAAAGTGACCCCAGCAACGGATTTAAGACCACCAACCTAAGGATGACGACCTGGAGATCTGTGTATACACAAGACCCACAATCTACACGACCGCCATCGCAGCTGATAATTATGTTTTGAACTCAACATACTCATTGATTGGGTGTATAAGGGGCACATTCGATACCCAATCTCACAGATTCACAAAGCAACGAAGTGCTCTTGCATAATAACTACTGTATAATGTAAATGGTTATGATAATTTATGTACTAACTAAGCAGCCAGAAAGTATATACAACAACCGAATCCAGCCCAATCCCCTAGCAACATAACGATACTTCAAACAATAAAGGCCGAGAACCGAGTCTCCAAACACATGCAAGGATCTAATTCCAAATGAGCGACATGAAGTAAACTAGCTAACGGGTATGATTTCATAGCCCTTCGTCATCCTCCCTTTCCTCTTATCGCCCCCACCTCCCACTCCCTGCTACCCACCCCACTTCCCTTTCTGTCGAACCCTCAATCTAAGACCCCCCACCAACAAGCATCTGCTTTGGGCTTCCCTTTCCCCTCCCAATTGCCTCTTTGGCACTCATCACACCCTTACTTAGATATACCCCGCCAGGTCTGCCATTTGTGTATTTCCCAATCTCCACACCGACCAATCGTTCCTCGTCATATACAATCGTTGAATTGACTGCCTCCACATCTCGGTAATACAATTCCGTATCAATCACATCATTGTTAATGTCCAATCCACCAAATTCAAAAGTCTGACTCGTGCTGCCATATCCAGCGCTGCCGGCTGAAGTACCCAAGTAATGAGCTGATCCACTTTGAGTAGTTGAGAGCCGGGTTCCCGAGAACCCGGAAATGAGAGAAGCAGAGGAGGGTAGATAAGCAAACGGTTGAAGTCCGGATGGGAAGACAGAGGCTCCGGATATGAGGAGGTCAAGACCACGGGTTATGACGGCGTCAAGGGTGAAGTTTGTGGAGGAAAGGACTAGATAGGTTGTGTTCACCCAGACGGGGTATGTGTATTCGGACTTGTATTTTGTGGTACTTCCGGCTATGGAGGTATCGATGCCACGGGTTGTTGCGTTGTTTATTTGAATGGCGCCGAAAGCGGTATATTGACCATAGTTCAGAGCGCTTAATTCCTGAGTCCATTTTGAAGTCGAGGTGCCATTTTCTGTAACGACGGTAGATGAAATAGAGAGCGAACGCTGAACGTTGGTTGTATAGGTGAGTGTTTCGTTTGCGCCGGTTGCATTTTGAGTGAGGAGTTGTGAAGTAGTGATGATAGGAGCTGGAAGCGAGAGTGTGGGTGCAGTACCGGTAGTGACAGAGTCATTGGAGTCAAGCCATATAAAGATTTTGCCAGTGACGAGCCAGTAACTGCCTACTGTGTCAATCAGGGTACCGCTTCCCTCACCATCGTCTATAACCCCTGCAACTCGGATCTCAAAGGTATGTTCAGATCCGTCACATAGGACAGGAAGCCAAGGTGTGATGTCGATCTCGTGTTCACGTAGGTCGAAAGCATCAAGTCCTACAATTGGTCTCCAAAGTCCTGGTACTATACCACCAGTGAAGACTACTGGAAATGGCCATTGCACACCGGCTAATTGACCATCGATCAAAACTTGGACTTCACGAAATGGTGAATATCCATAAAGTGTTCCATCGTAAGCCTCAAATGTTTCGATGTCTGACTGGAGCACATTGCCCCACCAAAATTCTTCAGTTGACTGGCCACATGCCGAGATAGAGAAGACGGCACGATTGGCGTTCTGTGGAAAGCTAATGGTGTTTGTGGCGTTATCACCTGGTAACGTGAAAACACTCGCAGCATCTTCTGAACCGTGCCTTGCGGAGATTGGAAGAATCAGATCAGCCGGCTCTACAGTTTCTTGGCTCGTGAAAAATGTAGCTGTAAGCGTGGTATAGTAATATCCAGTATATGTGCTATCGATCAGATTTCCAAGATCGAAAATGAGTGTTTGGGGGGAGTTCCAAAAATAAAGATACTCCGTCATATCCTTAAGATACTCCCATCTAATTCCAGCCGTAGTTGGTTCTGCGGTGGATGTTCTCCAAACTTCAGAGTCTCCAAAATACATTATCGCAAGACGATCGAATTGACGACCGCTTGAAGTGACTGTAAAATTCATAACAACTCTATTGAACGTGCAGCTAGGTGGCGTATAATTGCCTGTAAGATCATTAGCTGATTGGCAATTGCAAGATTTTATATCTGAATTCCATACCAACAAATGGGATGCCATAGCTGTAGCCAAAAGTATGTTCCATCAGAACAACCTTGCAGCTAGTTGCAACATTCGTTGACGCGATTATCGACGTCTCCTCAACTCCGTCGTATGATGCTGTCTCATCAGACACACCAGGTGGAATGAGAACTGGTTGATAAACCTGAAATACTTCAAGCGCTGCGGAAGTAGGAGTAGCAGAGGGTGCTGGTGCAGCAGAATATTTGACCAAACCAGACTTTGGTGAAATGTCCACCACATCCTCTAAAGAGCATGACCGTAAAAGCCATATCGATGACAGACCGCAGCTAAATAAAATAAGAAGGACTATTTTGATATTTTTGATTGTTTTTCGATTTTTGTTGTCGGGCTTACAATTGGTATCAATCGGTCCAAGATAATCACCAACATAAGTGTCTCCCTTTGAGTCAAACAGATTTTCCGTTCCTGCTGACATTGTGACTTCTGAAGTTGGAAACGATCCACCGGGGAACAAGGGTGGATTAGACAAGGTAAGGATGAGGGTGCAGTAAATCGATAATCAATTGAGCCACTGTGGCACCGTTAATTGTGGCACTTCTCAACTGTGCTGGGAATCCCAATATCTCTTTCGCGCTGCTGTGGCGAGCTCAACGCCTTGGAATCGATTTTGAAAGTAATTGAAGACACCGAATTCTTCGCGGGTCATCACATATGTGGTAGGTTCTTCTTGTAGCTTTCTCCAGATATGGTTGATTGCAACTTCCAAGACACCGATGACGATTGGATCTCTGATTTCTTCCTCACTGTCTCGAGCAATTTCCAAAGCTTGAGATACTGAAAGAGTGCCGACAGAAGCTTGTCTATACGCCTCTTGGCTGGTTAAATGGCCGTTCATAATTGTATGGAGCGATAAGGAGGGGTCGAAATGATCCGGGTTATCGAGGTGCGTCTTAGCAAACGACGAAAGAGGAAGGTGCGAATCTTGAATGAAAGGCATGGCGACGGAGCAACACGTAGTAAACGGAACGGTCTTACCGAGTCGCATTAGCTGTCAAATGATAAGTACTTGAGTACTTTGTATGAATCTCGACGTGATTCGGGCTTTTGCCTGACTACGGAAGCACTGCAGCTCAGCTAGTCCGACCAATAACTCTTCTGGGAAGGTAATCGTAGATGAATGGATGGATTCGACGCGTTGTATATCTGCTTGGGGCTTGCGTGATGATCTTAAAGGAGTGGATTCGATATGATTTCGATATGTAATGGTAGGAGAAATTCTATTGGAAAGAGTGAAGCAAAAGCAGAGAGACTGGCTTGAAGAGGTTGTGTCCTATATAGTAAGATTCGAAAAGTATAAGTTCATGACTTGCGCCTGATAGGTCTCCAAAATCTTATTACAGACATTGAACCCTGGTATCGTGGAAAGTATAAGATCCAATTAAATTGGAACATTTCCGCGCTCTGTCACAGGAAGAAAATGCTTGTAAGTGCTTGTGGAGTCAAATATCAAAGCTCCTGGGCCCTGGGGACAGCAGGGAATCAGAACATCATCATTTTTCAGACCAAATTTAATAGGTCGATTCGTCGAGTCAGTAAATATGGAGTTTCAACCCAAAGTTAAACAGTTAAACGTCTTATGCAAAATTGCGATATGTGCTTGAATCGAATTCATCTCGTTTCTCCCGTGTACCGACGGTAAAAGTAAACTCTGACACCAAGGTTTTTGCATACATCTGTCTCTTAGCACTCCCATACGTTTACCCGACGACTGTGACCTGGTGACTGATCCATCGATTTTGAGCCTACGCCTTTTGCCCACCACCACCATTATAGCACCAAGGTCTTTGTCGTTTGTAAAGTTTGACTAGATGATAGGGTTTAGATGCAGCAGAGCTGCAAAAAGACCCTAATTTAGCAATCTAGACCAGGAATGCAAGACCGGAGCACAACGCCTAAATCCGACTGCACAATCTGCTAACAATCAGATTTCGATCCTCAACGTACACACGTACTTGGTTGGCTGACTGGAATCCTTACATAAATCCAACACTGATCGAGATATCTCAATATAAAATTTGATATGACATTGACTCATCGGAGACTTTATCCCGGCGGCCAGACATTCATGCTAAACGAGCCTCCGAAGTGTTCTAGTGGCAAAAGAAGCAACAGCATGGAATTCGCTAGGCTTAGACGGAGTGCAGAACTCTATAACCGAAAAGAACGACATATATTAGAAATTTGGAAACCACTTCGAAAATTAGAGCTGTATAATTTTAGCATGATTAATAGCTTCCTCAGAAGCACGGAGCAACTGCCACTTCTGCCATAGTCTGCTGCTAAGCGAATGGGGAACAAATAAAGTATAATCGTCTCCCCTGCGATTTCAGATCATCTCGCGCTTCGCTCTTCGCACATCAACCTCTTCATGGCTCTCTTCACCAGATTTGAATTAAAAGAGAGTTTCCATCTATGAATCAATCCATGACCGATCAATGAACAGATATTCAAAGCTATCACATAACTCGTAAGTTGTTTTAAGATTAGGGGGCTGAGGGGGCGAGGGGGGTTCACAGATACACCGTTGGGACGGATTGTGCACATCCAGTACTGTTCAACATCTGATTTCGATACTGGGTCAACTGGGGTCACGAGGAATGGCGCCACCGACTTGGGAAAACATCTGCTCAACCATAAGCAATCCCAGAATCGGGAACAGTCAAGGCATAAAGTCAATGTCTCGTGCTGACTCAGGTATTTATTGGCTGAAGGTTAAACTTCGCTATACGATTAACTTTTTCAACACCTGCTGAATTTTTCCAATTACTAGATAAATACTCTATTGAGTTTTCACGTCTGGATTTCAAAGGAAAGTATCGTTCTCGCCACATCACCAAATGTTGGAGCAAACTCAATCCTCTACCCCTCTCACCCCCATCCCAAAATATTAAAAAATTATGCCTCGGATCCGACGATAGCTTCGGACTTGGAGTCAACTCTTGGGATTTGTATTCCACAAGTGCAACAATGCATTGGGTGTTTGAACGATCGTTTGTATCAAGATCCAAATGATGATCTCCGTCTTCTCGGCTCATGCATTCGCAATTCTTTCCCGTATTCTTTCCATCTCCGTGCTGCATTGAGAAGTCCTCCCGGATTTCTAGAACTCTAATCAAACAACAATCTCCTCATTTCCATCCCAGATCAAGAGAACAGGACAGACCTTGCCATAATCCCGCTATATCCGCAGCTGCCGCTCACCCAGAAGAGTGCAGTGACATGCATTTTCCTTGCTCAGAATTTTTATCATCTTGGCTCTCTTGGCCGTCCCCTCCTTTACTACCTATCCCCTTCATATGTTCAAGGATACTATAGCCCTTACCTTCCCTTCAAGTATCCAAGGGTAATATGGTCGATCTATCGACTTGCAGGTCGTGAGGCATCTGTAAATCAAAATTCAAAAATTCGCCCTTGACACACCAGCCACAAAATTCGGAGATTTCGAGGAAACTCGGATTTGTAGCCACAACGACAGGCAGCCAAATCCAGACTTTCTAATTGATCGCCCCATTGATTGGTGGAATACTTCCGCGATGCAGAGGAGCTCAGGAGTCAGGGAGCATCATCCAAAGGATGGCCCCCTCCCGCGCCCCGCACTTTTTGGAGGTCGGCGACTCCTCCCTTACTTCTTTTTGACATATCTCCGTCCCTTGAGTGCTTCATGTATTTAATCTCCATATTATTTAACCCCGGCACTTGTTATATTCGTTGGCCTGATAAGAAAGAGAAAGAAGCCGTTTGATGCACGAACGTCGCACTCCTGGTAATTACTACGCAATACATTACTGGGCCCTGGGAAGAACCCTTTTATTCAGTAGCGAATTTTGGTGCCTGTTTGATTACTTCCAACAATCAGCCTCATGTTCACAGCTGTCAACTAGTGAATCCTAATTCAACATGCAATGCAAAACATACGGTACAGATTCCATCGCAATCTTTTAAACTTCTCGGGACAAGGTTCCGATCCTAGTCTCAGAATGTCCAAAACTTCTTCGCGTAGAGTCGTGGGTGTCTATAACCGAGCGGTGCGACAAATGCAAAGTTTAACTTCGTGCCCCTGACTCGCCGTCAGCACGTGCTCTGCTCTTGATTAGCTGTTGTACGCAAATAATACTGCCGAGTTGCCTTGCTGACAGTCCCGGCAATACTCAGCACTAAATGAAGAGTTTCTAAATCCTGAAAGAGATAGATCTCCACTAGATTGGTTCACATGAAATATGATACGCGTACGGAGTACGGCAATGACTTGATGGTAGCTCATTTGTCATCCGCTTATTTCCCAAGCCCTATCTCGAGCCCACCTTTTGTTGGCCGACTCTCTCAAGTTTACGATGTCATCTGAAGTCCAAATAAGTGTGTTGGTTGGACTTCGGTTTGGGGGGGCGGGTTCTCTTCGGAAAGCTTGAAAGAAAGACAAAATGGTTACATGCAATCATCGTGGCCAGCAACTACGCGCGCGTTGGAGAGCTCACCCCACCAGTCCATATATGTATGACTGATGGATTCAAAAGCAAAAATCTTACTTTTTCGTCCATATCAATTTATTAAACTTTGTTCTTAATTCCGTTATCCAATCGCAAGATTGACTCCCCGAGTAGAGGTATATGCTTGCCAAATATTTTGTCATGATTACTGATCCTCGCGACGGGAGATCAGTGGAGCCTAATATTGTACAAAAAAGATACAAAACATTGATGAAGCCGACGAAATCGCTTAAACCGGTTGTGACGGAGCTGAGATTTAGATCATTTCTGGAAATTTCGATGTATTTGCCTTGAAACAAACTCTACTTACAAGTAGTCCACATAGGACCGAGATTTGCGGCCTCTTTCCACTATTTGAGCGTATCCTCTACATATGTTCGGGTCGACGATGTCATACACCCGAACTTGAAAGAGCAGGCCTTGACACGTCACACATGTATATTTGGGGGACTGCCATCAGAAAGTGCCAGAGGTGGTTTTTTCTAGGGGTGTCAAAAAGCTTATTTGATCTTCCTACTTCAAATTTGATGAACAGACATTAATTGCTAGTGTGAACCTTACATCCCAAAAGGGGAAAGGTGTACGCGAGCCACAGGATTCCAGCCGCCTTGCCACGCGCCAACAATTTTATGCTTTGCTTTAGTTGAGCTGCACTAATGGTATCTTCCTACACTAGATCTCAACTCAGCCGCTCAGGCTTGAGAAGAAGCGCTTAGTGTCACGTAAGGAGTTGACACTAGGCACCTATTCACGTTGCTGCCAAAGAGCCCTAGATTTGCCGAGTAGACTTGGTAGAGACAAAGTATGATCTGCTCATGAATCGCATCAAATAGGATTCAATGGCTCTTTGACCTGTTTTTTACATGTGTAGGATCATTTAAGTTCATGTCGTCGTGACTGCGTTGATTGGTTTTTCATGTCATCCTTTATACTCTGTGGATGACACATATCATCAGGCAGTAAAATGACATGTTTCAGAACCCATTCTCCTTGAGTGAAGTTTTCTTCTGGGACTGCGGAAGGTTTAAACATCGAGCTAGTGGCTCCGATCATGTGCAAGACACGTGAGTCTGATATTTCTTCTTCAGCATTTTCCACTATATGGATAGGATAAGACATTTTTCCAATGGAAAACTTTGTTCTGCAGAGACACTTCAACATGATTTGTCTGCTTTACGAAGCAACCGAATCCTCCCCAAACTTTACTACCATCTGACTTTTCCCACGAATCTCACCGTTTTTTTCTTCTCAGGCAATTCGTACCGGGACCAGCGAAAAGAACATGAAGATTAAGGAATAAGGACAAACTTGTTGATAGAAAGTTCCTTGGCTTCCATTCACGAGTAACAGAAGTATCAATTCAAAGTTCGTTTCGAATATCTTGTTTCGCCTGAACTTGCAAACTTTGTACCATTTATTAGGGCATGACGATTAATGACGTACTAGGTGTGTC